TAGGAGCCGAAGCGTAAGTAATTAAAAACAATTAGAATTGAAAAGCATTGTTACTAAATCACTTACAATGGATCATATATATACTCGGCACTATTACCGCAATATATAGTGATCTCACTACATGTTATATTTTTTTTATTTCGTAAGTGTATATTTAAATATATAATACTCTTTTATATATTAAAAAAAGAGATAAACTATATGGTCTTTTCAAGAGAATTACTTGGTTCAGAGGTCCTCAAAATAAATCTTTTATCAAAAGATTTACCAAAACTCTTGTATTATTAAAAGAATTGAGAATTTAGAATCTAGAATACAAGTTAAAGAGGTAATACAAATGTGCTTTTGATAAATTTAAATTGATAATTTTAATATTTAGACCTTTAATGCTGAAAATATTTTCGAAGAAGTAAAACAAAAATGGAAATTAGTGAATTTGGGAATTAAAATTTTCAAAGAATGCCAAATTACTTTTATTTTTGATACCGTACAAAAATTGTAAGTTATAATACAGATCTTATCATTAACAAGCTTCTATAGTAGAAAATTTCAAAATGGTGTTTTATTTTATTAAAAATGTCTGAATTACAATATTTTACAGAGATTTTAGAATCAATTAGACTGTTTGAAATTAAAACTTATTTTTTTAATATTTGTAGTAAGGGAGGGGTATTAAATCAGATGCTATTTTGACTTATATCGTATTAAGCTTAATTTAGGCCAAATTTCGAAATCACACCCCTGATCATTATTTTCTAATTGTATAATTTTAGGGGAGGTTTCGAAATGAGGTAGCGATATTGTAATTTCAAAATCGCACAACATAATTTTTTTTAAAAAAATTATTTTTTAACTTTATAGTTTTTTTGCTTTTTTTCATATTCAAGGTTTCTTTTATGTTTAATTATTTTTTTAAATAGTGTTCCATTTTCTTCTTCTAAATCTTTTTCAATTTCTTTTAATATTTTATAGTTATTATTTTTCAAATATTTAATTTGTGTATCTAGAGTTATTATTTGAGAGTTGTGATCAATTTCAATATTATTTATGATGCATTATTTTTGTTTTTTTAATAGTTTCCTTAAGCTTATCTCTAATTGAAGTTGCATTTTGATCAAATTCTTTTATCTTTTTTTCAGAGACATTTATACTATTTCCTAACTCGGTTTGTGATTTAACATAAAATGCAGATTCTATCATTAGTCAATTGTTTATATAATTTTTTTTATAGTATATTCTTTATTTTGTATACTATTTAGAATTTGGTCTATTTTATTATTTACAACAATCTTAACAATTCTTTGCCAATCTATTGGTTCGATTTCATCATTATTAACCTGGTTCATAGTGTAGCTTTCTAATATTTTTTTAAAATTCTTAGTGCATTCATCTACTTTATCTTTTCTAGTTTTATTGTTATCTTTGCTGGTGTTCAAATCTTCGTCAATCTGAATTGTCTTTTGTTGGGCCCAAGTTATTTTATTAAACTTATTTAAAGGATGCAACAGTAGTATCACTTGAATGATTAACTCCCCATATTAACTTATTTTGATTCAATATTTTATCAAGTTCATCTTGCTTTGTTTTATTAAGATAAGGACCCAAAGCATTGAAGTCACCCATCAGAATTATAAGTTCACAATTGTTTTCAAAAACTGATTCTTTTGTCTTTAAACATAGTAAGCTAAATAAGCGAGACAGACCACTTCTTTTTTCTGATTTCTTTTTAACATAAGTATATACATCAGTCACTAATGCTTTTATTTCACTGTATACATTTTCTGGCTTTGCATGACATCCAATAAGTGTAATTTTTACATTTGGTTTTTTCCGATGATGAAATTGGACAACATAAGGCTCTCTAGTAAATTTATTATTGTCAACTATATAATTATCTAGTAATTTCCACTCATTTGGTCTATATAAGTAAAGTTCTATTTTCTCACATGTTCAAAAAAAACTCCGGGTTGGAGCTAATAATGATTGACGAAGCTATTTGGCACAGATAAAATGGTTTCGTCAAAGGTTTTGTCTAACGAAATTCTAAATTTTAAATTTTTTTTTCAAAATTTCTGTTTTGTTGTACAATGTATTGTTTACTTATAGGCCAATATTCATTGGATTGGGTGACATAAATCAATTGCTTGAGTAATACTCGGTATTATTTATTGATCGCATCTCTAATAGAGATTGTGATGAACTGAAAATAGAATAGAATGTATTTTGAATATTATCAACAATCCTGAAGTCTTTTCATTTTGATTAATTTTAATGTTAACATTACTTAAAGCCAATAATACAGACCCATAAAATCATATGATATATTAAACAAATTACACGAAATACTAAATCAAATTTGTAATATTGTTAATCACTGGTAATGATCATGTGATAAGTAGTAATTTTCTTAAATAAAAAACGAACCGTTTGATGCTGATATAAAAGGAAATTTACTTTTTAGTGTTATCAAAATTAATGTTTTATTTTAATTAAAGGTTTTAATACTGATACAAAATCAACTTTAACTTCAATACAAGTATGAATTGTAGTCTTTTTCAATATTGATTTTCTTTTGAATTAATATATAATTTAAGAAACAATTGCTAAAAAACAATTAAACTCACATCATCGAATTAAATTCCAATTAATTTTTAAATGAATTCAATAATCATATGATTTAACTAAGAAGCTATAATTATTAGATGACATTTTTATCATGAATAAAAGTTTTTTATAGAAAATATATAATGAAGAAGCAGTGTTAAGATTGTTACTTAAATAATATATAATTTTATGGACCCATGAGTCTGTGAGATTATATGTAATGTTATCACAATAAAATAGCAATGCCGTCAGTAAATTTTTGATTAGTTAAATTAAATTTGTTAATTGTAAAATATTGAATAAAAACTTTATCAATTACTTATAAAATGAATCATAAAAATTAAGCATGTTTAATATCTGCAGCAAAAATCAAACTTATTCTTTAAATTTTTTTGAAAGTTCAAATCAATTCTTTGCAAAAGTATGACAAGATCAATTTTTAAATTTTCAGATGATGATATGGTATCTGTGCGTCTTAGTGGCATTGATAAAAATAATAAAGAATAGACCGCTGAGAAATTCAGAAACATGATATACCAAATTATAAATATTTATTTTTTTTCATTCTAAAAAAATAAAGTCACTCTTAGTTAAAGGAATTTGATCATATCGAAAAATTGCAACACCTTGTGAGATACAAGTGATGCCAAGTCAAAGAAAAGGTTAACTTGCAACATCCTGCATATAATACAGATGAGGCCAAGTTGAATAGTGAAGATAGTGAAGAGAAATTGCAATGTTTGTTTATATAGACGAGACAAGAAGTGAGAGTAAGTCATTTTGAGCGACTTATATCATATTTTTTAATCAAAATTTTTGAATAGCAATATCCATCGTTTTGGTTTTGGCTGAAAGGCATTGCAAGAATAGTTTAAATTCTACATCTCTGTTTTTTGTCCACGTTGTTTGTTTTTTTCTAAATTGAAGGAAATCTAAAAGACTCCATGTTGTATCTGGCTTATGCTTAAAGAGATCTTTAAAAGAATTTGATAGAGAGTTTGATATGTCACTAAAAACACGTTTTTTTTGTAAGACATCGTGTTAAATCAACAAAAAACTGAAAATTCAAAAATTTTATTTATAAAATTTATGAATCTCATATGACAATCTATTTTCAGAAAATTCGTATAAATCAACAATGTCACGTAGTTAACCAATCATATTAATTGTCACAGCTGATGCTGAAGTTGGCTAATGCTAAAGCCTTGACCTATTTTGATATAAAATTTTAACTTTTTTTTGGATGTTTTTTTCACTTTTGTCTTATAGGGTTAGGGTAAGATTTGGATGTAGTTTTTATATTTATAGAGTATATGTGGAATTTAGCAAGGCTTATAGTTTCCAATCGAGACCCCTGAGCTTCAGCATCAGCCAACTTCAGCATCAGCCGTGACATTAATTATCAACAAATATCACTAATTTTATTTTCAGGCAAAATTAAAATACATAATTTAGACAAAATTAAAATTAA